TAAATTAACTAAGCGGGAAGTGAAAATGAATTTTGGAGCCTATTTTTCCATATTGGCGCCATTATTTAGGGTATAGTAGACTTACAGTAAAGTCTACGTATATGTAGACGTCTATTTCAGTCTACATTAATTGGTGTTTATCAAAATAAATATTTTAAAATTAAAATTAACTAAGCGGGAAACGAAAATGAATTTTGGAACCTATTTTTTCCTATTGGCGCCAATACTTACGGTAAATTCTACTTCGATAGCAGGCGTCTCTTTTAGTCTACTATAATTGGTGATTACAAAAAAAAAAATATTTTAAAATTAAATTTATTTATTTATGAATTAAAATGTGAATTACAATTTTATCAAAAAAATATATACTAAGTCTATTAAATATATAATGAAAAAAAATTTGATTATATATTATAAACTATTTAAACAATAAAGAAAAATATTATAGTAGACTTCTTTGGAAGTCTACCTAACCTAAAGTTTGACCAAAATAATTCTAACCAAACCAAAATTAAACCAAAGAGTTTTAACCTAACCAGAAAAATAACTTGACATATAAATACTCATTCTTATTAAAAAAGGGCCGACATAAAAAACAAGCTGCCTCTCTCTCTCTCTCATCCTTCGTCTCCTACGATGTTCCCCGGCGAAAGCTTCAGATCTCTGGTAATTTTTCAAATCTCGAGCTCTCTCTCTTCTCTGCAGACCCGAGTCACCTAACAATCTGTTTCTGTGTCTAGGGTTTTGATCGAGAAGCTCTGCGAAATCGACGGCAGCAAGGACAGGATCCGATTAGACGGCCTTTCTCCACCGGCGGCGATGAAGGAGAAACTTAACTAGATTCTAATTATCCCTCTTGTAAGTCTATCTCTTTATCTCTCTTTATACTCTGTTTCTCGCTATAGGGTTGTTCTTGTGTGCCTTCTCTCTCTTTTGTTTTAACTGGAAACGTACTTCGTGTCTCAAGGTTGGTTCCTTGTCGGAAATAGAAAGTTATTAACTTTTTGTCGATATGTTCCTTGTCTCTGTGTAGTCTGTTTCTGGAATCTCATGTTGGTTCATTTTTGTAGACTAGTTTAATCGAAATTAAATAACTTTTTTGATCTTGTCATGTTGATGAGTGTGTGTCCTGTTTTCCTTTTGGTTTAATATTTGCAGTGTGAGGTGTTCAGCCTCTGGTGGAAATGGAAGTGCTGCAAAGAGAACTACTCTTCACGATCTGTATGAGAAGGAAGGCCAGAGTCCTTGGTATGACAATCTTTGCCGTCCCGTCACTGATCTTCTCCCTTTTATTGCCCGTGGTGTTCGTGGCGTTACTAGCAACCCTGCGGTAACATTAATTACCATCTCTTTCTCTTTGCTTTACTCTGTCTTTGTTCATTTTTTCCTTAACTCCTTCACTTGTGTAAAAACCTTTTGCAGATCTTCCAGAAAGCCATCTCCACTTCAAATGCTTATAATGATCAGTTCAGGTAGTCCTTTACTACAACATGGATGCATATCTTTGACTGTCTTTGTTTTGCTTCTTATGTTTCTTTAGAGATTATTTCTGATCTGCTTTTGGATGGGAACTTTATTAGGACGCTTGTGGAATCAGGAAAGGACATTGAAAGCGCATACTGGGAACTCGTGGTGAAGGATATTCAGGATGCCTGTAAGCTTTTTGAGCCAATCTATGACCAGACAGAAGCTGAGGATGGATATGTCTCTGTTGAAGTCTCACCTAGGCTTGCTGATGATACCAATGGCACTGTTGAAGCTTCTAAATACCAGACAGTTACCATTGTAAGAGTATGTTTTGTTTCATACTCCTCGTTAACTTGATGTATACCATCTACCCCGTTTGTTTCTTGGTGATCTAAGCCGGAGGGAGCCATTGATATGAAGCGTAGATATGTTGGCCACTGTAACATTGGAACTGATATTAAACAAGCCAGTTTTCTAGGCCAGAGAGGTAGATTTTTTGTTTGGGTTTCAAGTTTTATGTAATCTGAATGGACTTCCAGTGTGGTAAAATAGTCTTGCATGATTGACTTGCTGTGAACATTTATTACCAATTATAGTTAAACCAAAAATTATAGATAGATATATGTTATTCAAGTTTTGCTAAAGAAGAGTTTTTAGTGTTTGTATTAAGTAATTGGGTTTGAGACCAATCTCCTTGAGCCGGTTCTAGAGATACTAATCTATCACCATCTGATGTACTGTCCTGCACAAAGAGAGACTTGGTAAAAAAAAATAGAACCTCTAAAAAGTAATGGGAGTATGGAGCTCACATGATGAGGAGTGGCATCTCTTACATGATGAGGAGCTTTTGTAGTTTGTGGTATGGGATTCAGTTCCATGTGATGTACTAGCTGCAAAACAAGACAAGATAATATTATAGCTCAACTCAAACTTCCTGAATCTAATAAACAAAAAAAAAAACATGTCTCAGCTATCTCAGGATCATTCCATGGTCCTTTGTTAGACCTCAAGCACCCTCCTTCGTTAGCACATGTGCATACGCCTCCCAAGAAATCTGGAAGTTGACTGCATTTCCAGAATATATAAAAGCAGTAAATAATAATGTTAGTGTAGTAACCAAAACTTGAATAACATATATCTATCTATAAAGACATCACTTAAGAAGTGACCTAAGAAATATAGTTAAACCAAAAATTATATCATAGACTTACAAGTACGTCTACAAATTTTAAGCTAACAACATAGACAAACAAAAAATTTGATAACTTCCTAATTATAACGGATTATCTTCTGAAAATCATTCAAGACCCTTCTGATTAACTAACACACACTTTCATAAAAAAAAGTTTTGAAAAAACTTAATGAATAATACACAAAACCACTTTTGATAGATTTTTCTAGGTAGACTACATATTCAGTCTACAGACGTGTAGACGTTTTATTCAGTTTACATGTTGTAGACTGAACATTAGGTCTACGTTTAGGTTGGTTTATGCAATTGCCAAATTCACGGGTTACTTTCTGTATTTGAAAAAAAATGTGATTTTATACGAGTAGACTTACTTTTCAGTCTACATTTTTTAAAAGGTTGGTTTTGCAATTGACCAGAATTCGATCAGAGTTTGACTTTTAGAAGTAGACCTATTATGCAGTCTACACTTTTAAATTTGTTTGAAAGAGGTTAGTTTTGCAATTGACCAACGTTGACTTTCTACGAGTAGACAGAACTAAATGTCTACGTAACTGTAGACTGCAGTAAAAGTCTACACTATAACCCGACAGGTTAGTTTTGCAATTGACCAAAACAAAATAGTAGACTTCTTATGCAGTCTACGTTTTTTTTCTAAGTTTTGTAGACTGCATATGAAGTCTACACGTAAAGTAAGTTATTTTCTTAGTTT